AACAGTAGTGGCCGAAACGTCCGATAACCATATTTTTAGCCAGTGACAACCATTTAATTCCTTTTTACCAGTTTTTTGGCTACTTTGGCTTGTTTGCTTACAAGACTATAATGACTATAATGTTTTCCAACAACTACAACTAGGTACATCTTTTCCGAGTTTTAAATAATTAATATTTATATTTTGAACTGTTCCATGACTCCGCCACGATCGTAGCTGGATCGTTGAGATACATGAAGAACTCGAGCTGCGTCGCGTCGATCAGTGAACCTTCATTACAGCAAACCTAGCAATCATATGGAAACCAGCTTTAATCCGACAGTGCGCTATTGAATATTTCTATGTAATTCTGAGTAGCACCAAATTGTAATAAATTTCGCTAGGTTGCAAGGTCTTGCAATAAATTCAGATTTCAGAAAATCTACATAGTTCGCCCGCAGTTTATATTGTTAACTAAAGAATTAAGTACCACCGCAGGCTGCTCTAGCCTCTAGTAGCAACTTTTGGGTATAACGATCCTCCACGAATTTTCTGTGGCCTTTTCTCGGCAAAACCTGTAATTAACATCGTTCGACCATGATGTGTGTAGAGTAACTGCCCTCAAATTGGACTTTTTTGACTGATCAACACGAATCCTCTATCAGCTATCTCGAGGCTGAAAACCGTTAGCCAACAATTAAATGAACTGATTAAATTTTGCAGACAACTTTAAAGCCAAGGGCTTTATTAGCAGAGAGCAAAGTGATCCAGTATCCTATACCAGGAAAGCATGAAGAGTAAGAGAGTTAATCCCCCATATAGGCCTAATTTCCAAGGTAATCCTCCTTTAGTTATTTTTAGACATGAGGGACATTTAGCACGAAGCCAAGATTTTCGCGTGAACGGTAAACCTTAAACGGCAGTTTCAGTTTGGGCGTTGGTGTTTCACGTTTATGTTCTCTACCGGTTTAGCTATAAAAACAGAAAAGAATTATTTCACTTGAAGAGGCCGCCATATCGAAAATCCAGACATCAGTAGTGTTTGATTTTAAAATGGCAACAAAACGCGTCACATATTTAAAAAGACTTGTTTACATAACTTCCTTACTGGTTCGTGGCATACACAAAAATTCAGGATAACAAACGTTCAAGTGAATCAGTTACGTCAAAACCTACATCTCGGCGTTAAAAACACGCGTTGGGAATTGCGAATGTGATCGCAGGGCTTGGTCACGCGACTTCCAGCGGTTCGCCGTTTGAGGTTTCCGGTTCTTCCGCAACCGCGCGCGTTGCATGGATGTCTTCGTGAAGAATCAACGTACCTGGCTATGCCGTGAGCAGACTCCGAGTCACAGGATCTTGTGATGTTGTGGCTGATTGGCTATTTTCAGAACCTCCTGAGATTTTAAAAACCGGGAATAATCTAGAAATAATTCGACATCTAAGGATTACTTTAGTAATAGGGCCTATCTTGGGGATTGACTCCCACATCTAAAATCATCCCTCGTGTAGGCATGGTGGCCTCATTGTTAGTGCGCTCGTCTCCG